CTACAATAAATTTAAATAGATGTCCCTATAAAATCATTGTCTTTAAAACGTTTCGGAAAAAAAAATATATATATATATACAATCAACTACAATAAATTTCTAGCAACAAAAAAACCCTCTATATTCTATAAATCTGTAACAGTATCCTAAGATTATTTTAAAAAAATTCAAGCTTATATAACAATTGCTTTAAATGTTCGTGCTATGTGGAGCGAGTAAGAGATGATGGCTTTCTGCATCTTCTCCAAAACACACTTTGATTATTATTATTATTGTTATTATTATTGTTATTKTTATCATCCAACCGAACAATTACCTAATGGCAAGTGCATCTACTAGTGATGAGTTTAATCCTATRTAGACCCCTTGCACTAATTCCCTATCCGGGGGTCAAAACAATTAAGTTTTCTTCTCTTGAGATTTGAAACCATTTCTCATGTAAATTTTTTACATTGTTTTTTTGCCCCAAATTGACCTCCATGGCAAGGGGTCTACTTCATAGCATCACAACTGCCATGAGTGGGGAATAATAAGCCAAATTTAATTAATTTATAGTTTTACCATTGCTTTCCCTTAGAATTAACTTCAAAATATAAATGGGATGCATTTTGAAGTTGAAGTTTGATTGTGTATGAACTTAATGCTGTAAATATAGATGTAGTCATACATGTATTAAGCAGACACCTTTAGGAGCTTAACTGGTGTCTGCTTACTAAAGGGGGTGTGCTGGATAGAGGTTCAATTTACAGTGAATACAGTGTTAACTGTGGTGGGTACCTTCAGTACCTTGCTTGGTGCTCACTTAATAGAGGGTATCTGCTAAGTAGAAGTTCGTCTTAGAGTTAATACAGTGGTGATTGTATAAAATGGGCCACACCTTTGGAACCTTCCTTGGTGTCCAATTAACAAAGCATATCTGCTGAATAGAGGTTCATTTTACAGTAAAAAAAATGGTTAAGTGCCAATGCGACTATCCATTTAATAAAGTGTCTGCTTTTATAGCGATATGACTGTATGTGAAAAAATACTTTAAGACATAAAATGCGTGTTATCAGGCCATGTAAAGTTTTTACAAAAATATGCTTTTACTTTTAGTTTCATGAGTCGATAGCTATTTCATAACAGTTATTTATGTAAATAATGAATCGAAACTCAAGTCTTAATTATGTCGATACTCTGAAACAAGTTTAGGGTAGATCTATAGGTCAGGGCATGTTTAACTTACAGACTGAATCAGAATTTAGTGTGTTGGGTTGAGAGAGAGAATGTATCTTTTAGATAGTTTAAAACTTGTTAAGTAAATACATTGTACATACATTGTACAACCTGATTTTGAATAGGCTTTTTTCTCATTTGGTAAATATGGTTGCGTTATGTGACTAAAGACTAATTAGCACAGACTTAGCCTTGTTTAAGAGCAAATCATTTCCAAAAGTCAACTATAATGTAAAGATGTGCAACTCAAACAATACCAATGTTTTAAAATCCCACAGACTTTTAATGGTATCTTTGGATAGCCGACATATAAATGGGGCTAAACTTGGAAAAAACAGCGAAATGCATTAAATGCGAAACTGGTGTATTAGCAATATATGTACAGTGTATGAAACCATGAGGTTGTTGCATGTACTTGTTGACTGATAGGTTTTATTTTCTCTTTCATTTTATTTTTTTAGATTTATTTTTTTAGATTTTTTAAAGATTTTGTTTTGATTAAAATTTTTTTTTTTCTTTCATAATAATGCTAGAAAACTGACGTGACTGCTAAACTTGTGGAGGATGTATTACACAAAACAAAAGAGTATCTTCAGCCCAATCCAGGTGATTAAAAGATTAATTATTATTATTGTTATTAAATACATAAAGTACTAAGTATTATAGTACAACCTAGAAATACCATTCAGGGCTTTACTAACCACAGATAATATAAGTACTTGAAGAAATACTTGAAAAGTCACAAGGTTTTGAAGTTAGAAGGAGAAAGGGAATGGGAAAGAGTTTTTTGGATGTTTTTGGCATATTGAGGGCCACTTGGTTATCAGTATGATTTAAAAAATCATAAAGTTCATTCATTCTTTCTTTCACTCATTTATTCATTCATTTACTCACTCATTCATTCATTTATTTGTGTATTTGTTTATTTGTTTTTCCATTTATTCACTTATTCGCTTGTTTGCTTGTTTGCTTGTTCACTTATTCACTTGTTCGCTTGTTCGCTTGTTCGCTTGTTCACTTGTTCGCTTGTTCACTTGTTCGCTTGTTCACTTGTTCGCTTGTTCACTTGTTCACTTGTTCACTTGTTCATTTATTCATTTATTCATGTATTTAATTGCTTGTGACTATGAAAAAGTCCCCTAGGAGGCATATCACCCTAACACGAAAAACCCTTACTGGGTTGCCTGTGACTGTAGGGTCTCCAGATGMCTACAGGCAACCCAGAGAACACCTGAATGCTATCTAATTTTATAGACTTTTTATTCATCCCAGAATGCAAAATAATAAAATTTAAAAACAAACCATCTTTCAGCTGCCAGAGCTAGGCTATCCATGCAAGGGGCTGTCCAGAAGGTGCGCGGAGAAGCAGCAGCTTTTAAATATCCACAACCAGAAGGATCTCTTGGTGAAACTATGGTGAAGAGTGGACAGGATTTAGGAGATGATTCCTCATTTGGTGAGTAGATAAACACTAAACACTAAACACTAGCGACTAAACACATACCCCTCAACCCATCCCCCCACCGCCACGCACACACACTCCCCCACTATAATAGGAGGAGCTTMGATTTTGGGGTTAAAAGTAGGAGTTGTTCAGCCCCATTACTCCTGGTCATTTATGACCTGAGACCTGTAAAGGTGAGAGGCAAGTGTACTAATGCCTCTGGCCTAGCTCAGTTAGTTGGGCAATGGTCTGTTGTGTGGGGAGTTGTGGGTTCAAGCTTCCACAGCCAGACTCTAGGATCTAAGAATATCTGAGTAAAAGGTGCTGCAAATGGTAAGACATTGGCTGTAGCTTGGATGTCCACGTAAAACGGTGGTCTTGTTTCATTCAGAGACRTCAAACACAGGGGGCCACAAGTTTATCATTGCTAAGTTGTGACTGTCACCTGTCACTCTCTCTAAATAAAAACCAATTATTGTTGTTGTTGTTATTGAAAATAAATAAATAAAAAATCTTTATTTAAGTTTCTAGTTATTCTAGCACTTTCACACTAATAATTGAGGACACTTTTCACTCACACACYCTACCACTACATTCAATGTTCTATTCACACAATGCTCAACTCACACATTGTTGCATGTTGATTGCTTGTAGTTCATGATAGTTATGATTCATCAGCTTTTTAATTATAAATCAAGCCAAGCTTTCGAGCATCTTGCTCTTCATCAGRGCAAACGGTTGTGACAATTTTACAACAAAACACGCAACATAACAATGTGCGCGTGCTAAAGTTAAATGTATCAGTTGCTAGGAGCGCGCGTGTTACRAAGGGAGAATTAATTGCGCACGCTATTTTTTATTTTTTATTTTTGTCTATTAAGATACGCTATATGATCTTAATTGCTTATCAAGCTACAATAGCTATCAGGCAATGTTCTTCCACTGTCTCTATTAAAGAGAGCATGTGATTCATTAGCAATCTTCCATGCCTCCAGCCATTTCCTCTGGTGCAATCGTGCTTGTAGTTGGTTAATATTTTTTCCCTGTTTTTCTGTTACAGGTCAGGCAATTGTTGAGACTGGAGAAACGTTTCATCAGTTAGCAGAAGTTAAAGACGCATTGGATAACACTGTGAAACAGTCTTTCTTAGATCCACTAACACTACTAGAAACCAAAGATATTAAAGAAATTATGGTATGTATAGAWTATCAGATAGGGTCACAGTGAATTAGCACCTTTGCCGACATGTCAACCATTTGTCTGTCAACCAGCCTTTGACAGCGGATAATAGGCTAATGTTTATGTATACCACATGCTCCACACTAGCTAACACTATCTTTCTCAACTAGTTTTAATACGTATATATCCTAATTTTATAGTTTTATAGTTGTACAGCACATTAGATCATAATATTATATACAATGTATTTTGCGCTATAGAAATATTAAAATTATCATCGTCATCATTATTATCATTAACTCACATGTTGAATTCTCCAGTGTAATATGATTTATACTGGTCTTCTGCTATAGAAATATTAAAATAATAATAATAATTATTATTATTATTATTGTATCATCACTCTATAATCCCATATAAGCAACTATTGTATTATTTTCAAATTCTCTTCCCTGTCCAAATTAAAGATTAATTTGGATAATTCCATTCCCATTCTTTCAAGGGAAAATTATGACTTATGGAATCAGTCTAGTATAGTTTGGGATGACATAATTAATCTGCAATAGGACTACATGCTGTCCAATTTGGAAATAATTGAATTCAAAAAATTCCTCTGACTGCCAAATTGGACTCGGCCTATGGGCCTCTTCCAATTTTGTCAGTCAGGAACTTTTTTCATCCAATTATTTCCAAATTGGACAGCATGTAGTCCTATTACATATACTTATTATTATTATTATTATCATCATCATCATCATCATTATTAACTGACTGGTCTTTTGTTATATACATTCTGACTCATTCTATAGATTGTAGAGGTTGTATTGTTTTTTGGTATTGAGTTATTGAGTTGTCAGCTGTGCTGAATAGAATAGATTACACCGGAGATAAGCCAATTTTGCAGAGGGAGTAAACTAGAGGACCCTGAGATAATCCTCGAGAGAACAAATCTTCAAAATAGCTTTATACCTGTTACTGTGTTATTCATTACAGCACCATCGGAAGAAGATGCAGGGCAGGAGACTTGATTTTGATTGTAAGAAAAGGAAAGGAAACAAACGTAAGTACTCACCCAGGAATAGACTGCATCTTAGATCATGATTGTTCCCTTGTGGTGTGTGAGAGGCTTTSATTGGTTGCTACAGTATGTATGCCAATAAACTTTAGCATAATAACTAATGGACTACTTCGATGATATGGCAGCCRTCTTGGATTGCAAGACATYATGGTRCATCCAGGGGGCAAAATAAAGCTTTTTTACAGTAATGACGTTGGTTGATATTAACAGCTCAACACCGCAGAATACGACAATCAATTACCTTTACCCTTAAAAGATTGTTAACGTTAAAATTGTTAGATTCTGTTGTTCCACTTTAGAATACTGAAGAAGTGGGTTTGAGTCCCACCAAAGGAATACAATATTTTTCTTGTAAGTTGCATAGTGGACTAACAGACTGACTTAATAACAAAGTCAAACAATGAGATCTAACAATGATATTTAATATTATATCAAGATAGAATAAAATCAGAATTCCTTAGATTATACATTCATTCATTTCTATGYATTTTTCTATTTCAGTTCCAATCGAAGAACTCAGGATTGCAGAAGAAAAGTTTGAAGAATCTAAAGACCTATGCTTGAGCAGTATGATGAATCTCCTGGAAAATGATGTACGTCAAGTTAATGTCAACCATTAATTATTAGAACATTATTGAACCCTTAAACAACCTCTG